CACGCCCATTACTCAATTTTTACACAGATTTACATGAACCCTTAATAACTTTAGTCAACATAATTCTTTTATGGGTGCGGACATGATATTATTCGATTTAACCAATTTTCGCACTATATGAGGAAGGGCTAAAGAGAAATAATGTTGAACATGTTAGTAGAGTAGCTTGTAATATAGGCACATAAAACATATTAGAGTAGTAATGCCACGTCCACTTTCCAAAAATACTTTAATCACTAAAGCCCCTCCCTACTGGGATCCTCTACAATTGATGCCTTAGTGCTAGCACTTTATAGTTTTTCGTCCTTTTTATTTTATGAGCATGGCAATGACAAGATTTAGCCCATTTTAATGCCATGGATTTATACTAGCGTTATCGCTTGCACCGATAGACGAACGGATAGACAGTCCCCGGAATCCTCTTCAATTATATATATTATATATCTTGATTTATTTTAAGTGTTACAAGCAACAGTAAAGTGCACAAAACTATTATACTTTATTGCAACATATTATTACCAGAGTATAAAAATATAAGTCTATATCTTTAAATTCAGTTTTTTGCGAAAAATATACACAATAAGTTACTGATACTTAAGGAATTCACACATTCGCTACCAAAAAAGTTTATTGTAACTACAGACACTTCGCCGTACGAATTGAAAAATATTAAATGCTCACCTGCATCACTGCGCATCACATCCCAGTAATCAAACTGCTTCAATACCTTAACAAAATCATGCTTGCCCCAATGTTTCGACGTCGGTCGATACCATTCGCTTAAGTATTTCTCACGAGTTTTAGCCGAAAAGTCACGATCCTTCAACCAACTCAGCGCGAAGCTCGAGCTATGCTCATCGGACCAAAGAATATTTACCAACTGACGTGATTCGTCCACCTAGCAAATAGTGGACAGAAATTTTATGAAAAGTGTTCCAACACTATTTTTGTACAAAACACTAACCGTTACATCTCGAACTTTCACTTTCGTATCAAAATTATTCCAACGTAACGGTTTGCGACTCAGCGAATCACGATGGAAACACTGCGCACACTGACAATTGTCACGCAACCAAATACCAGGGAATATCATCGAATTCGACTGCTGTGGCAGCTCCTTGATCAGCAGCATTTGATCCTCTGCGCGCACTGTGGCGCTAATGTGACGTAATAGTGCGCCTGGTTGTTGCAATGTGCGCCCGGTCTTGAGTAGATTGCGCCAACAGTGGCGCGTTAATGTTGACATCTTTCAGAACTGGTGTTTTTTGTGGAATAATTAAATTTTAAATGCAAAATTAAGGGTGCATCCACCAAGCGCTGTCATCTTAAATGAAATGGAAGCTAAATTTAAGCGTTGTGAGCTTTTAAATCGTCGCAGATTGCAACAAAGTTTATGCTTTCTCAAGCTGAGGAAATTCGTCAAATTACTCATAATTACAAAAGATCAACGTTCGATTTCACCGGTTTAATGCAGTTTACTTAATTATTGAAAAACAAATACAACTTTGCTGCTCTCATTCAGCTTAGAGCAGTGACTCTTTGTTTTGTTTATGTTGAACAGCAAAAAAAAAAAAATATTTATTTGCTGATAAGTACCGTGATAAAGCGGAATATTGTTTTGAAATGC